TTCCCTCCTCCTCCTCCGCCTCCACCGCCGCCTCCGCCCCCTCACGATTCCGCTCCTCTTCCTCCACCGCTCACGATTCCGTCCCGTTCCTCTTCCTTTCTTCGTTAACGTCGGCTTCTCTTTCGCCAACGCGACGAACACGCCGGGAAACAGAAAAAAACGGGACACGAGAAGTATGTACACACACCGTCGGGAAAAATAACAAACACCGTTCCACCGACGACACACATACGAATGGAATCACAGACGAGATGACGGTCCCCGAGCGACTTCTGACGGGGCCAGCCACACGCGCGTATATTTATTTATGCTCTCCGCGTACCTCGTGCACTTTGGATCACGGTCCCGAAATAGTGTGACAGTCCCCCCGTAGTTTCTTCGTTTGTACGCTCTCGTAGCCGTTTAAACGCGCCACTGTCTTCGCACTTCTGAATATTTTTCAACTCGATACGCGAGGAGAATAAACCGGCTACCTTTATCCCCGTTGGTGTTCGTCGATAACTTTTCTCGAACGAGGTTACCGTCCGTTGACCTTGAACTCTCGTTTTACCTATGCGCCACCGTGTGTGTACGCTGACTGGCCGGCTGATCGGTGACGCGCGCACGTACGATAGCAACCGATTTCGATCAGCTGGAACACCTTCCCGTTTTCGAGCGGAACGGTCCTGTGACACTGGTAGAAGTCGGGATCGAGAATATGATCGATGAGGGGGAAACGTAGTGCATAATAATATCGACGAAAAGGCACGAGGGCTCTCTGTCTTGGACGGTCAACTTGGTACACGGTGCAACGGTCGCCGGCGGGGTTACGGACGCGCACTATTAGTATCACGTACACTTGTTATCCGTTGGATGTAGCAGCACGAATCTACGTGCACACACGACACCGGGTTCTTGACTTTCCTCGACGCTGTGTATATCGACACAGCGATGTTGGTGCCTTAACCTCCCGACCCGGCACACACAACCACGATCACATCGTCGTACTCGCGCGCGTATTGAAATAACGTGTACGTGTACGTGTATCGGCGCGATCGGTAAAAAAAAATTGTTTTCTGCTTAGGGAACGATGCAACGATCAGCGTGTCTCGAATCTTGGCCACCCTGCAGGATACGATAGTGCCGTTTTCGTTCTTGATACTCCTTTGCCCGTGCCGTCGCCAATGCCGGCGCACCGGCACCGCATAACAACAACGACGACCACGGCGACGACACTTTAACCTCAAATCCGAGATTGTCGCGTCGATCACTCCCCGTCATCCGTATACGCGTATCACCGACTGACATTTTCCGCTCGCATCGTCCGTCCTTCTCTTCGCTGTTCACCAGTGACACGCTCGTCGCTCGTCACCCATCGCCGTCGCCGGCCTGCGGGCTTGTTCGCGCGAGGCGACCGCGAGGATGCGCACTGTCACATTCTTGAAATCGCTGCCCAAAGAGCTAGCGAGAAAACGTTGGCGGAGGGGGACAATGCGAGAGCAGGACCGATAAACGGCAAAGGAGAGAGCGAAATACGGAGCGAGAAAAAGAAGGTAGGGAGGACCGGTGCACGTTCTTGATCGGATATATAACTCGCGGAGGGCGAGAGAGGTCGAACGAGAGTAGCGCTTCGGTTTGCACTTTTAAAACTTCGACGCGTACGGAACGTGCGACGACGGAGAAGAAAGTTTCGTCGCGTTCAGAATTATGTTCAGTCTGCTTGCGATTCGGTTTCTATCACTTGATTCTCCTGGGTTTGGAGTTTGTGTTTGATGCAGTGATGGTGCTTGTCTTCTTCGCGCACGAATACTGACGTCGTCACGGGACAAACTGGACACCGGGTTCTTGACTTTCCTCGACGCTGTGTATATCGACACAGCGATGTTGGTGCCTTAACCTCCCGACCCGGCACACACAACCACGATCACATCGTCGTACTCGCGCGCGTATTGAAATAACGTGTACGTGTACGTGTATCGGCGCGATCGGTAAAAAAAAATTGTTTTCTGCTTAGGGAACGATGCAACGATCAGCGTGTCTCGAATCTTGGCCACCCTGCAGGATACGATAGTGCCGTTTTCGTTCTTGATACTCCTTTGCCCGTGCCGTCGCCAATGCCGGCGCACCGGCACCGCATAACAACAACGACGACCACGGCGACGACACTTTAACCTCAAATCCGAGATTGTCGCGTCGATCACTCCCCGTCATCCGTATACGCGTATCACCGACTGACATTTTCCGCTCGCATCGTCCGTCCTTCTCTTCGCTGTTCACCAGTGACACGCTCGTCGCTCGTCACCCATCGCCGTCGCCGGCCTGCGGGCTTGTTCGCGCGAGGCGACCGCGAGGATGCGCACTGTCACATTCTTGAAATCGCTGCCCAAAGAGCTAGCGAGAAAACGTTGGCGGAGGGGGACAATGCGAGAGCAGGACCGATAAACGGCAAAGGAGAGAGCGAAATACGGAGCGAGAAAAAGAAGGTAGGGAGGACCGGTGCACGTTCTTGATCGGATATATAACTCGCGGAGGGCGAGAGAGGTCGAACGAGAGTAGCGCTTCGGTTTGCACTTTTAAAACTTCGACGCGTACGGAACGTGCGACGACGGAGAAGAAAGTTTCGTCGCGTTCAGAATTATGTTCAGTCTGCTTGCGATTCGGTTTCTATCACTTGATTCTCCTGGGTTTGGAGTTTGTGTTTGATGCAGTGATGGTGCTTGTCTTCTTCGCGCACGAATACTGACGTCGTCACGGGACAAACTGTTGCGAGGAACAACCGCGATTACGGCCGTAACACGACTCGACTCGGCTCCGCTCGACGACGCGACTGGTACGCACGAGGTCCCCGTCATGAGCGCACACACCGATTTCCACCGCCTCTTCCTCCACCTCCTCGTCGCCAGCGTCGCTCGTCTCGTCCCGTGCGTCTCGTCCCGGCGCGCCGATACACCGACCGCAGCATACTAAATACACAAGGGAGATTGTTAAACATGGCCGTCGCTGCCGCGCCATTATTTGCGGCATTAGCCGCGAGAGGCGCCACTCGCGCCGCCGCTCATATCTGTCGCGATGCGCCGCTGCATCGCAAGTATTCTTTCCAAAATTCTACAAACTACTTTATTCACTTTTGCTCTAATTTATTACCGTTAATTGTCACCAACATATTACTTTAACACTGAAACTATCAAACCGGTCAAATGACCATTTTATAAGTTGATTTCAAGTTATAAAATTTAAGATAGTTTTCTTGAAATCTATATTGAATTTTGTCAAGTAGAAAAATTAATATGTACAATAATTATTGTTTCTTCATTTGTCAACTTTGTTTTTAATTAAAAATTTGCTTAAAAGTGTGCATTATATACTAGTAGTTTTAGTGTTAAAGTGTGTAATCGTGTGTTCTGATTCTTTGTGCAAATATCATTTATTTAGTTTAGTAGGGTAAACTTTGAGTAATTTTGTTGATTATAGATCGAATGAGATAGAGATTGCTCAGATATCATTTTACGATTTACTGATGTATTGCTTTAGCATTTTACGGTTTCATCCTGCTGTTTCACTATTCTATAATTATATCATACTTTCTATGCTCTTTTGCCGTTCTACCATTGTGCTGTTTTGCTATTTCAGTATAGTACCATTTCGCTATCCACATGTCTTATTTTTTGGCAGACTAGTGGAATTATTTCCAGTTGAAATATGGAGTCCTTGAAAGGCTGCTGGAAGATAAGATTATATGATCATAGATCCCGTATTCGCGCTTCTTGCAGCCTTGTAGAGCAGGATAAGCGGTAGAAGGAGAAGGTAGCAATGACAGGGAATGAGGGAATAAAGCTAACAAGGGCGGGGGCAGGTTCTTCTAGGTAAGAAGAGGGGCAAAGCGCAAGGTGGACTGATCCGAAGACGGGGGCGTCAGCCGGTTCGGTCGTACAGTCAATAGCAAATCTGGCTTTCTTGTGGGAAATGTGCCGACTAAGGGAGGTTTGTTCCATTTGAATTTGGGGCAAATTTATAAATTTTAAAATTCGGGGGCTTGAAAATTTATGAATTGAGAATTCGAAAATATAGAAGTGGGGAAGTTTGGAGTTTGAAAACTTTAAAACATAGAAATAAAGCGATTTCGTAATTTGGGAATTTGAGAATATTGGATGTGTAAAAATTTAGAAATTGAAATCGTAGAAATTTAGCAGGTGAAAAATTTGGAAGTTTGGGATTTGAATGTTGAGAAATTTAGAAATGTGGAATTTGGAAATTTAGAAGTTGAAAATATAAAAATTTAGAATTTTGGGATTTGAAAGCTTGAAAATTGAAAATATAGAAATTTTAAATTTTGCGGTTTGGAAATTTATAAATTGAGAACATAGAAATTTGGAAGTATAGAATTTAAAAATTTAGAAGTTGAAAATATAAAAATTTAGAATTTTGGAATTTGAGAAATTAGAAATTCAGAATTCTAAGATTTAGAAATTTAAGAAATGTGATAATTTGCAAATTTATGAGTTCAAAAATGTAAAAACCTAAAAATATGAAAATGTGAAAATTTCAAAATTTGGAAATTTGGAAATTCTTTAATGTCGTACTTATCCTAATCTAAAGAAGGACTATGTTGCATCCGAGTGTACATAGTTGTTCAAACGGTCGAGCAGACTGACGCCAGCGCCTCTACGTAGCGCCAGCGCCAGTCACCGGCATGTATTCCACCCCGAGGGTCAACATTCCACGACGAATTTCTGTCATGATATCTCTCGTAAAGGAAACGTTCGTTTGCTGTGTCATTATTGCTAAATGACGAAAGAATGTTAACGTAAATGTGTTGTCTGCTTGAAAAGAAATTGTCTGCCTCTGTATATCTACTGTAATTAGTCTTCAACTCCGAGTGCAAAAAACATTCTGCACTCTGCACTCTACAAACTAATTTCTCAACAATGAAAATAAATAATAATTATAAAATTATAATAGACATTAACTTCCTAATGGAATGTGATAAGTTAACTTGTCATTTAGCTAATCAGTTTCATAATTTCATAATTTTTTATTTTTGTGCGTGCCAATATATTTTTATTTAAAAAAAATGCTGTATTTCCATTTCTTGTGAATAATATTTTTTATACTATTTTTACTATTTGTTATTTCAGATTCAAAAAAGTTTCTCTTCAACAAATCACTTGATTTAGAAGTTAATATATTTAAATATATGACTTCTTTCCATTTTCAGTTTTCTTCTTGCACTTGTACCAGTTTGTGGCTCTGATTGAGGTTTTGAATAATTTTTTACTTTTCGTTCTTGTACATACCTGGGTTAATCAGCAGGAATAAATATTTTCAGGATCATTGGAAATCTGTAACAAAATTTCATGAGTTATGAAATATGCAAAATTATATAGGGTCTGTCATTAAATTAAATGCTTGTATTTACTAATCTATTAACACTTTGAATACCATCTGAAAATAATGGGAAATAAATTCAGTTAAAAATTTTATTTCCAATAAATCTACTAAATAATTGATATAATTTTTAGTAAGCTTACCTTCCTATTAATGAATTATTTATAATTTATAATGTAAAATGGTTTTCAGCATAATAATAAAAAACAAGGGTAAATAAATCATAAATTTATGATGTTCACTAAGATTTTGTATAATTTCATCGTTAAAAGCAAAAGAATTAAAGAGCAACACAAAGTAGCAAATAGAAAGCTTGAATTGAAAACTGAAATTAAGATCGTATCTTGTATAATTGCAATTAAGGCGTGCCTTACTACATACATCCGTTTTCACTGTGCCAGTCAACGTGTTAATAAGCTTCCGGTCGATAAGAAGTTAAGACGACATTAAAAGATTTCAACACCAGAGTTAATTGCATTAATAAAAGGATAAATTATGTAATTCCATTGTATTTAATAGCAAGAAAATTGCTTGAAGCTACATTTTAATTAAAAGGTGCGTACATACTATCCACGCATAATAAGACGAAAATCAGTATGTAGTATGAATGCAATATACTGGGTGTCCTATCTAACTTAGATACTTGAAGTATCTTATATATTTTTAATAATAAAAATATTACAAGAAAAAAAAATATAATTATGTATCAACTAATAATTTTTCTCAATGTTATATTTTTTAATATTTCAAGGTCATCAATTTTACTCAAGTTCGCTGCATTTGTTTATTATCATGATGTAATGACTAATTGTAAGATCAGAGTTAACAATCCGTAATGATAATGTTTCACGTCATTGAATTGAAGCATGAAAATCAAAACATGAAATTACAACAAAGGGATTTTATTTTAATATTTAAAATAATGTGGAACTTGAATATCATTAAATAAATGATTCTTTGGCTCTCCTTTCATAAATGTACGATTATTTGAACCTTGACTAATATCAATAAACATATTTCTTCCAGCTTCAGTATCAATCGATTCTAAGAATTCATCATTCTAGCTAAGTTGCGAGTACCGATAAGTTTTTGATTGCATTTACTGTAATCAATTCGCTTTAATAAATCATTATGACTGTAAATAATTGCGTCAATCTTATGAGTCGGTGCTATTTTTAAATCAAATTAAAAAATTCAAGGTCACGACGTTAAAGCGACGTGATTTTGTTGCTATGACAATGATTTTTTAATATTTTTACAAATATATTTTTTGGATAAACTTTTCGTTTACTGTGTCTGCTCTTCAGCATTAAATCATTTGTTCTACATTCGTTTTATTATTAATATCAAATAATTTAAACCTTGAATATCATCTCAAGGTCAGACTTGACCCCCTCAAATTTATATGTTCTTTACTGAAAACTAGATAATGTCTCAATATTATTAAAAATAACTGTTTACTATTTTTGAATAATTCTGAATTTTTATTTTTGAATAAAACATCGTTTTAACAAGTACATAAAAATACAAGTGTATTATGTATTAATTTTCGATAAAAATACACGCTATATGTAACTATATAATTCTACGGCATGGTAGTTAAATATTCTAGTTAAATTGTACATCCTGTATAGAACTTCATAAAAACTTAATTTTAATTCTCACATTAACATTTAATGATCTCAGTGCTCCACAAAGATTGTACTTTGTTTATAACAAACCAGTTCGATGAAAAATAATACATAAAAACGTGTTTACGAATAATAGAAAGATAAGAAAATTTGAATGGGTGTCACCCGTTGAAAGCTAACGGAGTCCCATTAATTTATATCACAGCGACCATATTGAAAATGACTTCAGAGGATAAATCAGCGTCTTGACGCATTAAAGCTCGCTCTTTTTTTGTCGACCGCTGTGTTCGTTTTCTTCTGAGATGTCTAGACGCGTTATTTCACCGTTGGAACCCGCTCCGAAATGATATAGAATTTAGGAAGTTATTTAGTTATGTATGTCTGGCGTCCTGAGCTGGCTAGTAATCAGGCGCCTGGCCTCCGCAAACTGTCCCTCGTTCTTTCTCTCTCTTCTCCTCTCCGCTCTTCAAGATTTCTCTATCTCTCTCTCTCTTTACCTCTCGTGCTCTGATTTCCTCTCGTTTCATCGTTCGTTCATTCTGTAAAGCCCGGTAAATTCTCCAGGGCCGGCCACGTTCGAGAGATGCTTTGGTTTAATTAACCGACGATCAAGGTGCCCTTCCATGTCACTTATGAATGCACACTCCAGTGCAGCAGACGCACCCTTAACCAGTTAACTGTGGAATTTAGTTTCAAAAAATCAGCACAGGGTGCGGAATTAAAAACAAGCAACGACGTGTATACACGTCGAACGCAGGGAAAATGGTATTATTATACACTTTACGAAAAACGAGAAAGGATTACATTTATATTCATTAAAAAAACTAACAATTAGTTTCTGAATACGTTATTCAAACGCGCCGCAGTAGAAATTTGGTTCGACGTGTATACACGTCGAACGCACTTAACTGGTTAAGAGATGTGCACAAACTTTTTCATTTACAAATTTTTATATTTGCAGATTTTTACACTTTTGTTGTTTCCAAATTTTAAACTTTTTCACATTTCGAAAATGGTGAGTTCTTTGACTTTTATTGTATTAACTTTGTTTTATATATATTTCTACATATCTTTCAAATTTCACTATTCCTGAATTTACTCTTGAATTTATAAGTGAACAAAATCTTAGATTTTCAATTTGCTAGATACAACATTCGCTGGATCTTAAAATTTTTATGTTTCAAATCTTTATATTGAGATCCTAAAATCTCTTAATCTCTAAATCTCTTAATGACCCAAATTCTTAATATACCCAAATACTTGTACCCCTAAATTCTACTATGTCCAAATCTCTACATATCTGTTGAAATTGCAATATCCCCGAATTATATCTCTAAATCCTTAGATCCCCAAATCTAGAGATTTAGATCTAGTGCTCCAAAGCCCTATATCCTCAAGTCCTAATATGTCCAGATTTCTATATTCTAAAATTGCAATACCCCCAAATCTTGAGATCCCTAAATCTCTAGTCCTGCAAATCCCTATTTCCCCAAATCTTAATATGTCTAAATCTCTATATTCTAAAATTGCAATATCCTCAATATTCTATATCCCCAAATCTCTATATCCCTAAATCTCTACATTCTAAAATTGCAACTCCCTCAAGTTCCTCCCCAAATCACTGATTCCTCAAATCCCTATATCTCAAAATCTCAATGTACCTAATCGTACCTCCAAATCCCAATGTCCTCATATCCTTACATCCTCAAACTATATCTCCAAGTCCCTACATCCTAAAATCTATATATCCCAAAATCCTTACACCATCATATTCCTATATCCCCAAATCCTTATTTTTCCAAATTTCTAAGTCCCTAAATTTCTAAATTCCCACATCTACAACTTGTCATTACATCTTCAAAAGTTTCTAAAGATTGTTGGTAAACCTTTGTCTCCTTGATTAGGATATTTTTCATAGAGAAGACAGATTTGTTCTTGACTGTACGTATTTCTAGTCGGTACCCGAACGATAAAAAAGCCTTTTATCCATTCGGAGAACGATGACATTGAAAAATTCTATTTTCGCGACCCCTCGTAATGATGGTTTATTTTTGTGTCGTTTTGGGCTCATCTTCGTTTTGTTCGAAATTATGTTCGTCTTTTCTTTTTGTTGTTTTGCGTTCATATAAAATAGTTGCTTCTTCGAATTATGACTTTTGTAGTTTATTTAAGAACTTACGTTTACGCATTTTGTTACGTGAGTATTATTTATTTTTATAATTTCCAAACAAAATTTTAGGGATAATTGTATTAATTTTACAATAAATTTTTATAATATTATTGTAGTATTTTTCTTATCGTAAGGAAATTTGACTTTTGTATTAAATGTAATAACATCATTGCAGGAATTGAAATTTTTTTTGGAAGAAACTGGTCCCATGTCGTCGCGCGATATATCGCCATACATTACAGCGCCATGCATTATATGGACACCCGTTGTGTCACCACGTGTTTCATTGCCACGGGTTGAATTATGATGATTGAATTATGTATCACGTGTTGAATTACCAAGTGTTGAATTATTACGCGTTAAATCTCTACGTATTTTCACGCGTTAAATTATTAGGTATTAAATTATTAGACGATGAATTACCACGCGTTGAATTATCACATAATGCATTACCACGCGTTAAATTATTCTGTGTTAAGTTATCCGTGTTGAGTTATCACGCGTGAAATTAATACACGTGAAATTACAGCGCGTTGAGTTATGACACGTTGTATTATCACTTAGTGAATTTCCACGCGTTAAGTATTTTTTGTTGAATTACCACGCGTTGAATTATTCTGTACTGAATTATCACTCGTTAAATTATTACGTGTTGAATTATCAGGCGTTGAATTATCGCGCGTTGACTTATCAGGCGTTGACTAATCTGGCGTTGACTTATCAGGCGTTGAATTATGATGCGTTGACTTATCAGGCGTTAAATTATCATACGTTGAATTACTACACATTAGATGATCACGTGTTAAATTAACATGAGCTCTACGATTATATATTAGAATGTATCACATTATATTCGAAATTATTACATCATTACATGTTATATAGCTGCATGTTATATTGCCATGTATTGCATAGCTACGCAACGTGTTTTAGATGATTCAGTTTTTAATGTAATTACAATACCTCTAAATTGTTAAAAATTTAGATAATTACATTAATTATGTTATTTAAACAATTAATTACCTATATGTTATATAATTGAGAAAGAAACATTTTTAAACTTTTATAAGTTATCCTAGTAAGAAAATAATAATATACAAATTCCAGAACTATTTATTTAAATAAATGTGATATAATAAGACACACATGATAT